CAATCTATTCAACTCTACTCTACTTTGTATATTCAAATTCAAATTTGAGTCTATTTCAATTGTTTGTAAACTATATTTTGATTCAAAGGTCTATCACTATAGATTCTAATTTACTTGGGATTCAATGCAAGCCTAATTTTAATTTGATTTCAAGCTAATTCTAACTTCATTGCTATACAAGTCAGATTCAATTGAGATATTGTATTATTTTTCAATTTAGTTTTAATTTGAGTGAAATTCTCATTTACTTCTAGAGAAGTGGTGTTACTTTGAACATGAGAGATTTTATATAGTTTTTTCCAATATAGAAGAATGTGCTTTCTTAAATGAATTAAATTCACCACCAGCAACACCCACTCTCTAGAATGACACCAAAACTGAATTAGAAGTCCATGTGCATTGAACTAGAATCAACATAGGATGAAATTAGACATATAGAAACCAAACCTAATTTGCAATGACAATAGTGTAAAATTCGATGTGTAAAACAATTGAATCTGAACCGTATAAAGGCATTAAGATTTGAAATTAATTACTAGTAAATTGGAAGAGTCAAAGTTACAATTGAACCCGAAATAGAACTAAATTAGAAGTAGACTGGAATTAAATTAGAGTTGAAAGAAACACATTGAATAATAATCCATTACTTAAATTGAAATTGACTTAGAACTAAGGTAGAATTGAATTAGAGTTGTTTTACCTAGAGCTTGGTTAGTAGAACAGTATTGACTTAGAACTAAATTGGAATCTAAGTTCAATTAGAATTGAACTAGATCTAATTTGCAATCTCAATTTGATTTCAATTATATAAAGTTCAATTAGGACCATTTTCTATTTAAATTAGAAACACGTTGCAGATTCAAATTTAGATTCAAGTTTCAATTCCATTAGATCTAAAACAGCCAAGCATATTTAGAATTAAAATAGAAATGAGTAAATTAGAATAAAAACTGAATTAGAATTTGTCTATACAATGAAGTTAAGCTAAATAGACTTAAATTAGAATTCAATTAGGCTCAACTTAGGCTTACAGTAGAACTATGTTACATACTCAAATTAGAATCCATTTAAAGTTCAATTAGACTTCAATTAGACTCAACTTAGAAATTTAAATCGAAATAAATACAAGTGACTTTAAATTGGAATCAGATTTGACTTAGAATTTAGTTAAATTGTATGTGCACTAAAATTCATAGAAGTAAATTAGAGTTGAATTAGTTGTTAATTAGAATTGAATGAGGAACAAATCCAGAGAATGCCAGAGAATGCATTCCTGCCCAATACCAAGACCAAGATCCAAGATTTGCACAGGAGTCTTGTGGGAATCTTGGATCTTGGATCTTGGTATTTCCAAGATTTTAGCCAGGAGTCTTGTGGGAATCTTGGATCTTGGATCTTGGTATTTCCAAGATTTTCCACAAGACTTCTGTGCAAATCTTGGATCTTGGTCTTGGTATTGGGCAGGAATGCATTCTGAATGCATTGAACGCATTCTGACTGCATTCCTTCCAAAGTGGACAAACAAGTCATGCAACCTACGTGCGTGCACAAAAAAGATATATATATATATATGGTACCCCCCAAAAAAACCAAGGATCAAAAGGCAACCCAAAATAGACACAAAATATGGCAAGTACCAGCAAAAGTGATGTGAACATAGTTTTTTTGTTGGGGGGGGGTACCATATATATATATATATATGAACTTTGTGATATGATCTTGAGACACTGAAGGAACATGAAGACTGCTGTTATGACCTTTGCATATCATGAAAGAACAGTAACTGCAGCATGCCAACACATTGTATGTTCACCAACACATCGAGAAAGCTCCATGACACGCCAATCCAAGTCATTTCGACCCATTTCGATGGACCTGACCCTGGCAGTGCTGTCTTGCCCAACTGAGGTTCCTGCAATGGGGCCGTGTGTCCTGAACCTCAGAGAGAATCTTTCGAACACGGCTGGAGTTCAGAGAATATGAGATGCGTCATACTGAGCTCATAAGAAGAACATGAGTGAGATGTATGCGATGTATGAGATGTGTGAGATCCTTGAGGCTGTCTTTCTTCCTCCCCACCGGAAAGGAATCTAGAGCATAGGAAGTGCCCAGAACGGAGCGCACAATTTCATGTGCCAACCTATCGGGTGTTGGGTGTTGGGTGTCCTTTTCGGGCGGCTCGGGCTGGGCTCCAATTTGGAAGCGAAATCGGACACCGGGATCAGTAACAAGAAGGAGGCCATCGCTATTAGGTTGGAGGCCATTGCCAGTAGTAACAAGAAGCTACTAAGTAGCAATTAAAAGATTTTCTCACGAAAGACAAGTGGAGCACAGGCTGAGAGAGACATTTGACCCCCCCCAATCCGTTTAAGGCCAACGAGGTAGATTTCACATGAAATCTACGATCTACCATCTTTCATCTAAACCTGTCTGTTCAAGCCATAGGGCATATTAGGGCCGGTTCCTAGGAATAGTCTATGTAGAGTGGTCATGCAATGAACCAAGATTTAATTTTTAGTTCTTTATAAGCTCAGCTGAGTAAAGACCGGGAGCACCCAGACCTGGTTCACAGGTGTCGTCTACCTGATCTTCGAAACACCTCTCCCCCCGGCTCACCCAAACGGAGCCCGCAGCCTCTGAGCTCCGGGGACCCGAGACCTCTCGTTCCACGTGCTTTTTGGAGGCCCAAAGATCAGCTCTCGCAGACGGTTCTCTTTCCCGCGGCAGACGGTTCTCGCTCCCAGGCGCGGCGCTGCTTCTGTGTGACGTGAGGTCATACGCGTGCTTCGGGTGTTTCGCACCGCGAAGCTGCGTGCTTCGTCATGTCATGACCCAGTGTCCACACCACACATCCGGGTTCAGCGGTTAAAGATACAGAAGTTGAGGTGGTGCCCAAATTGACATAAATCGAAGAGAGAAATGCGATTGGGTCACGTCACAAGAAGCGCTCTGTGACCTGAAGAAGTCTTCGTCCGGACATGGCTGTTCAGGTCCGAAAAAGAAGGATTGGTTTCCCTCAGAAGCAGAATTGGCGGCTTTTGGTCAAAACGTATGCATGTTTTTTTAAATACAGGCAGTGTGGTTGCACGATTGTACAAGCACTGCAACCAGAGTCTAAGAGTGCCAGCCCACAGTGTTCCACCAGGTGGCGTTCAATGATCTTCGATCGGCAGTAGCTGCGGCTTTGAAGGCTCGCTCAAGGGGAGAGCTCAGGCAGACGGAGCACGATTCTGGGCATGGTGTATTTTTAGTTTTAGAGCACTTGGAGCCTGAGTTAAATTCAATATAAACTTATTATTGAACCTGTGCTACCTGCACATCTAGAGCCAGGATTACTTGGACAATCCGCAACCTGAGCTTAGAGTCAACCTGATGGGAGTCTTTTTTGTTGATGAGCAAGAGGATGAAACAGTTTGGAATGATCATCAATCGACACCATCTCAATTTGTTGGACAAACTATTTGCAACACAAGACTCCCACCAGATCAAATGAAACATAATGAAACCATGAATGAAGCTCTGTTGCCAATTTGATTTCTTCCCTGTTGCCATGAACCTCAAACAACGCCCTTTTCATCCGCATGACCGCATGACTTACTGAAACTTCACTGCCAAGACGATCACTGAACTGAGTCGCACCTAAAAAGCGTCTGAAGCGGTCTGGCCTTAGTGTCAGGCCAGAGAGCTTGGTCCACCGAGGTCCCGTCACGCTCGCAAACCCACGCATTCACATCCCTGCTCGCGGCGGGGGGCCGCGTGGGGTCGAGGATCATCCGTCTCCAGTGCCGTGCAGTTCACGTTTGTCCTCCAACGTTGGTGACCAGGCTGGGATGAACGATGTGCAGCGAGGTGTAGAGGGAGAGGCAGAAAGGTCCATTAGGGTGGCTGGAGGCAGATTTGGTTGGTGAAACTATAGGTAGAGAATAGGTAGAGATTTGTAGTCATCCCAAGTGATCAAGTAGATTAGGAACAAGTCAACAATAACAATACCATGTAATGTGGTCAATGTCTTGTGAACAGTTCCATTTTCTCCCTAAAGTCTTGAAGTGCCCATCATAGGAGGCCTTGTCGGGGACCTGTTCTTGTCATTATAGTCAATGCTTCCAAACTGGGACTTCAGGTACGTGAGGATGAAAAGAACATCCCTGACCATATGTACTATCCTCCGCAGGGTAGTTCTAGGATGTTCTAAAACCTCTGCACATTGTCTCCCAGGCTGCGAAGCTCCGGCTGTGAGGAAAATCGCTGCGGAAGGGTGGCCCGCCTTACCACCTTGAGAAGATCAATTCTTTTTCTCACGCATGTGACCAAAACATCTTTCATTTCTCAACCCTCTCCATGTGAGCACATGCATGGCATGATCCATATACCCCAGGAAGGCGAGATGGCAGCAATTCATGCGTAGATAACATGTTCTGAGTAGACCCCCAGATCCAATGCAATGGTAGACCAAAAGGATAAGTTGTACACATGTATCAGTCCGATGCAAGGGACAGCAAGGGACACAGCTGTTTTGCACCTGTGGGCCACCGTGGGTCTTTCGGGTACATGGAAGCTTCCTGTTTGGTTGAAGCAACATTGGTTTGTCAAGTGGACATCACCACTGTTATTCAAGCATGTCTTGGACCTTGAAAGAGAAGGACAGAGAGTAGCCATAGGCAACATAGAGGATTCTGCAGTGTGTTTGTATCGAACTCGTAGAGAAGTCTTGAATTCTGGAAGTTTCAGACAACTCTAAGTTTATAAAGAGCTGAACACAACTGGAAGTGGTCGAACGCAGGCTGCAAAGTCTGTTCGAAGCACGCTCAAGCTCGAAGGTGCCTTCTGTTATAGCCCCTCAGCAACGATCGGCATTCAGAAACAGCCACTCCGAGACTCAGTCTCAAAGCAGGATGCATCATCCAGAATCCAATCTTAGACAACAGATCTAAAATCTAAATGTGAACTGGGCATCCCCAGCTTTGATGCACACAGCTAAGCCAGCTACTTCAGCTACTTAGAGGAAAGGACCTGCCTTGGTTGCTGCAGACAATGCAAAAAGAAATCACACAGATACAAGTGCTGCTGATCGCTTGAAACGCTCGCAAGATGGGGATGGTCAGCAAGTGCCTCGGTTGTATTTCAAGACCATAAAAAGACTTGTTAAACAGCTTAATCACTCCTCTTCGCAATGTGCTCTTATCTCAGTTGCCATGATGGTATTGCCAAAGACACACTAGAATATGCCGTGACTTGAAAACGTCCACTCGCATGGGATAAATGTCACCATTCTTTTACTACCATGGGCAATAGTATTTTGTCGATTGCTCCGGGCATGAAACCAAATCCCATGACTGAAAAAGCGCGTGGCCTCTCAATAGCCTTTGAATAAACATCCAAACTCCCTCGTGTGGCGAAACACTGGTCGGTTGATTTGTTTTTTTGGAGCCAACGCGTCCAGAAGCAAAACATCCCAGATGAGTCGTCCGTCACGACACCCACGACTTGCTACGAAAAGCTCATCCAAATCCGGAAGAAGATCTTGAAGATCCACATGACCAAACATCTGGTAGGTGGCCAGAGAGCCCTTTAATTGGTCCCATGCTGATCCATTTTCTGCATGAATAGAGAGGAGGTCAGTCGCGCCACCCCAACCGGACGGTGGCTGGGGGGGTGGGTGGCTCTGGGTCTCCGAGGAAGCGCGGAGTGGAGCTCGGCTCGGTGGCGGAGTCGCCCAAGAAGCTGAAAGTGGCGCCCGAGCCGGTCGAGCCCGAGGCCGGTAGAGGGCACCCCGAGCCCGAGCCGCTGGGTATGGCAGGTATGGAAGGTATTGCATATCAGCCACAGTGTGAGCCACATACACACTATCATACATCAAAAAAGAGGGGTAGGTCCTTAGGTGGCAATGTAGAGAAGGTGTTTTCGGAGGCTGTAGGATGACTTTGGGTCTAATTTCAGCTAGCTGCTAAGTGGCTTATTTGTGCTGAATGGTGGTTGTGGTGGTCCTCCAAAGGAGAATGGCTCGATTTCAAACGCTCTCTCCATTTGGGGACCTTTAATCTGGAGAACCCTTTGTTCTACTGGCTGTGGATGGATTATCTTGTTTGAATCCATGATGGTGCAAAACAGTGTAAGCAGTGGAAGCAGCATGTCATGTGCAACAAATGTTCAGCAACGTAGTTTGTACGTAGAACGCACTCGATTTGCTCCAATCAATGGGAACCATGTTTTTCTAAAACTTTAAAAGTAATTAAGTGGGAAAAGCAGACAATTCCGGACTACTTAGATGAGTCGAGGTTCTCTCGAGTTTGTCCTGCAGCTGATCAAGAATTCAAGGTATCAAGTATGAACATGTATGAACCTCATGTCACGTCAAATTGTCTTCCCAATTCTTGAGAACTTCGTCGTAGGATCGTCCAACTGCAAAAAAAAAAGGCAGACAATGTCTTGTGATTCTGCTGCTTTTGTTCGCTTCTCTCCAGCTGGTATGGATCAACACCCTGCTTGGTCCACTGTCTACGACCCCGTTCGCCGCGCACTCCGGTCACCGATGTGTGGACACCGGTGTGGCAGTGTGGCGTTTTCTTCGCCGCCCGAAGCGAAGCGTTGCGTAACTCGAGCGTCCATGCCGAGGAGCCGACTTCTTTTTGGCTGTGTGTTTGCTGTGTTTTTTTTTCTTTTCAGAAGAGACTGTTCCATGAAGAGAGGTTCCATGATATTTCCATGACGGTTCACACGTTGCCACCTAGACTTGGACAACTGGAACTTCCAGAGGAAATCCTACAGGAACCGTGTATTTTCCCTCAGCAAATAAATAGTCCCTGGTCTGTTTGACTGTCCAGTAGAACAAGCCTAAAGATCCGGATCCGGTTGTTCAGCCTTTTTCGCTGCCAGGCCTCAGAACCGAAACTCAGTGCGGAGAAGCCACTTGGACCAGCGGCATGGAGGAGAGCCCACGTGGCTGGAATGGTACCTGTGGAAAGGAGGATCAATCGTTTGTTTTGGTAGCTGTCTCTTCAGAAGTTACAGTAAGTCCTTTGAAAGTAGCAAGGGCTTGGAACTTGGAATTCTTGAGGATCTGGTAAACAAGTTTTGAGAAAGGTGACATCTCTTATGAACCTTCAGATTTTACAAAACATGGAGCATTCACGAGCATTGTTTATAATATGCATATTTTTTGTCTCCAGGTTCTTCTCGTCGTCCACCGGAGGTTCCGCGCCAAGTTTCAGATCTCGGCTGCGCGCGCGCAGCAGCCGAAGCTTCCTGAGCCGGTGCAGAGCTTCGAGGAGGCGCCATTTGGCAGGCCGGAGGGCAGATGGGAAAGGGCCCAGGAAGGGTGGATTGATTGGAGACAAATGTGGGTGGATAGTCTAGCGCTGTAAGTTAGTTTGAGGTGGTGAAATTGGGCAACATGACTCGAGTGTTCATGATGACCTATCAAGACTTTGAGGCCTCCTCACCTAAAACCACATTGCGACCGCACAGGGGGCCACGCTAAATCTCCGGACCCAGTTGACCCGGTCGACCCAGTTGACCCAGTTGAGGTCAACTGCGTCAACTGGGTCAACCGGGTCAACTGGGTCCGGAGATTTAGCGTGGCCACCGTGTCAACTGGGTCCACCGCCACCACCACCACCACCACGACTACTACCACCACTACTGCTACTACTTCTGCTACTGGGTCAACTGGGTCCGGAGATTTAGCGTGGCCACCGGGTCAACTGGGTCCACCGCCACCACCACCACCACGACGACGACCACTACCACTACCACTACCACTACCACTACCACTACCACTAC